TTGTGAACACCAGAGGAGTGAAGCTGCCTTGATCAACGTTCTGAATTCTCTCCCCATATGCCCTAATCTTGTCGTTCTTGTTCCTCCTGTGTGCAGCATCGAGAGCTAGGTTGCGGTGACATGCGGCCATGGGATAAAAAATCCTTATGTCAAAAAAGGCTCGCTGTTCCCGTGTCCAGAATCCTCGACCACTGACGTCCACACGGGCTTCGTTGGATGTGTTTGAAGTCCTGTGATGGAGGTTCTCACGGTCTAATGGAAGGTGGGGCGGTTCCACCATGACGTCGTGGCAGATTTCCCTTGGTAGATTTGCTGTTAGATCCCTTACTTCGTCATGCCTCATGCATACTAAGCCCCTTTCTTGTCTACCATGGCGTGGTCGATGTCATAAGATGAGCTGCTCACGCATTAGGAGGGCAAACCTTCTACTGGTCTACCGTACCCGAGAGCAATGGCATCTGTGAATTCTTGTTTATTAAGGATGAAGCCTTTTGTCCTTTTGTAAACCAGTTTGAGGCGCCCACCTCCTGCGCTATAGCGACTTTTCTTTTCACGTTCTCTGGCACTTGTTGCAGTTCATCACTTTGGGTGTGCTGCCGCTGTGTCGTAATGGACCGTCGAATCTTGTTTAATTCATTGGTATCCACCTGACATGCTGCATTCTGATCTATTACATGCTCAGTGAGAGCTGCCATGAGCTTGACAGAGTTCTGATGTTTTGTATGGGCAAGCTCCACTGGATTAGTCAATCCCATTCCTCCTAGTCTCGGTGGTAGTGCAAGGGATGACCTTTCTGCTGGGGTTAAGTAAGGGTTGGGATAAAAGCGACATTGATGGCTTCTTCCAGAGGGCGGAGGAGGGGTCCAATATTAGGGATAGTGCGCATCAGGTAATTCCAGCGATGCTTGACTCCATGGGTGAATGCCACAAAAGCTGCATGTGGCTCTGTTTTAGCAATATCAGACAGAACTTGGATTTCTACTACTACTACTACTACTACTACCAGTACCACATTTTTGCCCCCCAGGCCCCAATGTGGGTCAGTGGCCTGTGCCCGGGTGGGCTAATCCCCGCAAAAAAAAACAAAATAAAACCTGGTACATCGTGGAACATTTACATGTCATCTGAGGGTGTCAGTCTGGCATCACCAATCCTGGGAATAGTGATGCTAACAACCTCTAAGCGACATCGTTAGCACTGCTTATTTTTAAAAGTGTTAGTGAAACCAATAGCAAGGATAACTTTTCAGAGAAAATCTGTTGTGAGTTTCTTCAAAACCATTTGCACTACATTAATTTGATTCTCCATACTGCAGTCTACATTGTAAACATTTTGAGGCAGCATAAACCACAAGTTGTAACTTGTTGGTTAGATTATGTATATTCACAGTTCTACTTATTGCAAAACAAGTCTTTCATGTGGCATTAAGTATACAGTCTCTCCTCGACTTACGACAGGGTTCCGTCCCGACGACCAGGTCGTAAGCCGAATTGGTCGTAAGTCGAAAAGGCGAAAATAATACTACATAGAAATTCTAAAATGGGTGTCTCTTTTTCTTCTCAGCACCACGAGAACTCTCACTTTTACGCTTGCCAGCCATTTTTAAGGGAATTACAAACAAAAATTTTGTCAGTACACAGCGCGATCACTAACGTTGGGACTTGAAAATATGTAATGTGAAAAATATTTTATACAACCATGGCCGTCGTATGTCCGGGTTGTCGTAAGTCGAATATGTCGTAAGTCGAGGAGAGACTGTAATGTTAACTCAGGCCTGGACAGTAGCAGCCACAGAGCCAATGTGTTTTGTGTTTGTCTTTGGCCAGTCATAATGTCTTTGACAAGTGCTAACATCCCTGCAGCTAATATTTCAAAGAAAGACATCAATGAAAGAATAGCATGTGCTAACCCTTAGCCATATTTCAGTTGCAGGTATATCCATTTTTGTTCTGTAATTTTATAATTTGAATAGCATTTATTAATTCTTTCATTAGTTTGTTTTCCTAATGCAGTACAATTATAAATGGAAACCCAGTCTTGTTTAAGTAAACTAAAGAAGAAAACATACTGTACAATACTATAGTATTTATAAATTATGGTGATTTCAGAAAAAAAATTAGCATTAGTAATGGTCGTTCTAACTTTTGAAACCTTTAGCTATAGTGGGAGTGGTACTAAATTTTATGGTAGTTAGCATTTTCATGAACAACACTAACTTTAGGAGTCAGTGGCCACAGCACTGGGCATCACATGTTATTGGCCACATGCAACTGGCATCACAAATTGTTGGCCACATGATTCCAAGGTCAAATAATGTTGGCCACATGAGTCTAGCATCACATATTATCACTCTGGTACTCATTGTCATGGTCAGAAGTCTCAAACCCTACCGGTCTTTCAACGCAAATAATGTCATTTACAATCTCACCCTCTTGCAGTCTTTCGATGCAGGTTGCGTCGGTAACCGAAACGGTTTTTCCATTTATTAAACATTGCATAGAGCGATCTAGACCCAAATTACACCCTTAGAGATGCATCTGCCAGCCCATAAGGTTAGTGGGAGGAACCTAGGTGGTTGTTAGGGCCAGCCCACTATTCCTGCCTTTATGCTTATGGTAGGGGTGCTCTCAGTGTGAAATACAGCTGAGTGGGAGGGGTTGTGCCAGCATGGTGGACTCTTCTGTATGGGATGCCAGGACGTCCTCAATATCCTCTGATTCCAGCTCATCAAAGCTTGCCTGTCTAGCCAAGCTGAGGATATCCCTATTCACTGCCGAGACTAAGTCCGTGAATTCCGTAAAACTGTTGATGCACTCGGGCCACAGTTTACCCCACACACACCATTCAGGCAACTTTCTAAAACCTTTTCCCATGCCTTGCCAATGTTGTCAATTGCATGAAGAATGTTGAAGCCACGCCAATATTCTCGGATTGTAGGTTTATTTTCTCCATCTGTAGCCTTGAGCAGCTTGGCCATGGTATGGCATCAATAATATGCCTTGAATGTGGTGATGACGCCTTGGGTCATAGGCTGCACCAGTGCTGTCGTGTTGGGAGGCAGGAATACAACTTTTACACTGTCATGCAAGTTGTCGAGACTGGGAGGATGAGCTGGAGCATTGTCAAGGATCAGAAGAATTTTGAAGTCAAGGTTCTCCTTGGCACAGTATGCCTTTATTGTAGGGACAGCATACACGTTTAACCACTGGCTAAATATGGCGCCGGTTATCCATGCCTTCTTGTTTGCCTTGTAGACTAGTGATCCTTAGAGTAATCTTTCAGAGCCCATGGGTTAGCAGCATGAGAAATCAGCATAGGCTACAGCTTGAAGTCGCCGGCAGCGTTTGCGCCAAGCTGCAGTGTCAAGCGGTCTGTTGCCCCTTTAAAACCTGGTGCTCTTTTCTCCTCCTTGGAGATACAGGTCCTCTCGGTCATCCTCGTCTAAAAGAGACTAGTCTCGTCCACATTGAAGACCTGCTTCAATGAGTAGCCTCCTTCCTGGATAATCCGTTTGAATTCTGGGGGGAATGTCTCGGCAACAACCGTATCTGAACTGGCAGCTTCACCAGTCATCTTATTTTGTGGAAGTTATAACGACGCTTAAATTGTTGAAACCATCCTCGGCTGCCGTAAAGGTCTCTTCCTTTGATCCTTCACCCTCTTCTGCCTTTAAGTCATCAAACAAGGATCTGGCCTTATGCTGGATAACCATAATGCTTACAGGGGCATTGCGATGATTCTGGTCTTCCATCCACATTGCCAGCATCTTTTCCACCTTCTCTATCGCAGTGCTTCTAGTACGATTCGTCTTAGTTGCACTCAGAGAAGAACCACTTCCAGCACTAACCTTAATCTTGTCAGCGTTGGTCCGGATAGTGCGCACCGTTGTGGGGGTTAGACCAAGCACAGTGGCTATGTCCACAGCACATTCCCCCTTTTCAAAATGGGCTAATACATCCATTTTTGTAGCCAGGGTAATGGTCTTACTTTGCCTCTTCACTACACTAGCATCAGTAGCACTTGATGGGCGCTTGGAAGTCATTTCGAATGGTTAGAGTACAGTTTTAGAGCAAAAGCACTTAAGCACACATGAATGATGTGAAGACGTAACAAAGACTAGCTCGGCGTTGCCTGGGGACGCTGTGACGTTCCAGAGTGAGGGCAGCTTGCCGAGCTGAGAAAGAGTAGCACGGCCAGACGAGAGCGGGTGATGCACCGTAGAAAGTAGTCCGTGATGACACAAAACGACGTAGTACTATCCGATCACTGAGACGTTAGACGAATTTTTGGTCTCTAAAGTTTAGAGACGTAGTTCCGAAACAAAGTTAAGTGGGACGACTTAAAGTGAACCAGAACTGGGTATCCTTAATTTCGAGTCTATTTGCGATATAGCGATACACTATTAAGTAAACATTACATATGAGCCAATGACCTGCAAGGGGTGCTTCTAAGTCAATTACCATCAGCTAAGAAAAAATTACTTTAGTTTTGTTGATTCAGGAATGCTGGGATTCTTGGCCAATGGGTGTAAACAAGAAATTTTGATACTGAAAGGCTTTGATATGGAGAGACTTGTGTAATACAGCAAAGAAATCTTTTACAGGTATTTGGTTGTCATATAGATGCAAATTAATCACATGATAAATTGTGTATTAGTGAGGGTGTAACATACTATAATTCATTGAGTTGCAGATTGGCAACTTGTTATTTAAAAATCTACTAGATGAGACTCAGTGTGGAAGAACATGACAGTTGGCATGGCCTCAGAGGTTAGGGAGTCTCTGTTAGTCACTCTTATTTTGAATTGCAATTTTGAATGTTGATAACTAATGTAGTAGTACAGTACAGTACAGTATAAAGGCTTGTCTGCAAATGTTATTTCTTTAAAGACTTATTGATTTGTTTTCAGTTATCTTTAAATTTTATTACAGTACAATATTTATAACATATACAGTATTCAGTTCACTTAGTATTAATAGCAATAATTTTAATAATTGCAGACCACTCCAGGGCTCATTCCTAGAATATGTGAAGCTCTGTTCTCATCTATGGCAGAAGGCAGGGAAGCAGGAACTACATACAAGTAAGTTCATTACTACTTCACTAACTTCTGTATTTTTTTGCAATAATCAATACATTCTTAGATGTACAGTATATATTTAATGATACTGTGAAGTTAGAAAAGTGTTTACTAATCATTCAATTAGTACTACAGTTGTCTTTAAAGATCATTGTTCTGCATTAGATTTAAGCTGTGTACATTATATGCAAGTGGTGCGTATGAGGAGGATAAGAGAAAGTACTGTAAGTATAGTAAACCCTCAATTACTCGGCACATATGGGGCTCTGGCATTGCCGAGTTATCCCAAATTCCGAGTTATCGAGGCACTTCCCTCTCCTACAAAAATGCAAAAAAAAAAAAAATTATTGACCCATATATGTGTACATGTGATTACTAAATGTAAAAAAATAACCCTTCCAGCATTGCCGGCAAAGAATGAAGCATCATAGTAGGTGACACAAATGCATGGTAGGTGACACAGAGGTATGGTACGTGTTGCAGGTGGCCAGATGTGTTAAGATTTTCCCAGATAATTTTATATATCTCTGCATTTCCCGAGATATACTAATACATTCCGAGACCATATCCATGCCGAGTTATATGAAAATCTGAATTATCAAATGCTGAGTTATCGAATGTTTACTGTACTGTAATACAGGTAAAATATATTTAGATGAAAGGTAAGACATTTTAGGTAATGGAGAGGTGCATCTGCTGTGAGGTGAGTGAATTTGATGGCAAAGAAAAATTATTTAAGATAAGAATTGAAGAGTTTTGTAATTTTATTTAGACTGGATGAAAAATTTTTTTTCTAAAAAACAGTTTTGTGATAAAGGCCAGAATGCGACATCTAGCTTTGTACCTGCATATGTATATGCCCTGCATTAACTCGCCAGGCCAACATACAGGCAATTAAAACATCTAATAATTACTAAAATACGTAATGTTAGGAGGACACATCACTACCTGGCATTTATTTGCAATTCTCAAAACCCCTCTTCCGCACCCGTAAGCACATGCATTACTGCTGTCATCTCTTGCCCCAGAGCAAGCAGTAAACAAATGTCAACTCTCGAGGGGTGGAGATGGGTGGGTTGTCGACGTCGCATTCTCTCCTTTATCACAAATAATGGTTTTTAGAAAAAAAAACGTCTTTTTGTTCAATCCAGAATGCAACGTCTAGCTTTGATATGCCCGAGCAGGAGGTGGAGAGGGAGGCGACATGGCATACAGTATAAGGCTCCGCTAGCTTAGGTCCAGATAATAATTATAAACCTGTTTTCAATATTTTTCTTGAAAGGAAACATTTACAAGGAAGGTAAAATTATAAGCTACATATCCCATGTCAGGATTCTCACCTTATTCTGATGAGGAAGAGGGAGGTCGTGGTTGTGGAAAAGGATGAGGTGGAGGAGGGGACCCCAGGACCACCACATGTGGAGCATATTTAAGAGATAGATGAAGATGTTGCAGCTGTTTTTAAAGGTTTTTGAAGATTTCCAAAAGCCCACTTCTTTGATCTGACTGAGGCTTATATGCCACAGGAAGGCCACAAACCCTGCATATTTCCTGGTGTCATGTGCCAAAAATTTCTTGCCAGAGTCTGCTTGACACACCAACTGAGATAAATATTTTGTCATTTGACTAGGAGGCAATTTCTTACCATCCTGTGATGAGAATACAAAGGGGCCTCGATTTGGGAATCTGGTTAACTACTCTTGAAGATTCTTAACTGGGCACAACATATGGGGAACCCTTGTCTCATCCATTAGCCATTTTTTCCTGATAGGTTGAGCTTGAAAATTCTCCCTTTCATTTTTTCATAGAATCTTCGCAGGAAATAGAGTGACATCTTCCTCAAAAAATTCCACTAACGATGGATTATTGGAAATTGAAACCAGTCTCACTGATTCTCATACCTATTGCTAGGAGGAAGGCTGCCTTCTGGATCAATCTGTCCCGGTTCAGATTTATATTGTAATTAGGCCCCATAAGAAAGCTGGTAACTTTATCTAGTGACCAAGGTGGGATTCTCTTAGGCTGAGGGGGTCTCTGAATTAAAAAGGACAATCTGAGCATTTGATAAATTCTGGGGCTCAGTGTAATGTTAAAACCCCATGCCAGAGGGTCAACCAATGCTGATTTATAAGATGCAATTGTAGAACATTGAAGGCCTTTAACTCTGAACAGAAAATAAAAAATTCCAAAATCACTGTCTCCAACTATGTATCTGGAGTTGTTAACTTAATAAATTGTTGAAAAAAACTCCAAGCTTTCTCATATTGCTTAGAAGTTGGGGCCTATGACCTGCTATCACTTGGTTAACTATATTGGAATTACCCAACAATCTATTTAAACTTCTTTTGAGAAACTCCAAGCGTGAAGTGCCAAGGATGTCTCGAACTGAGGGTGCAGTACCTCGTCTAGACATTCTTGTTGGAATTGTAGTGGATGCGGGCACCATTCCAACAGATTCAGACACCACAGTTGTAGGATCCAATGTGGTGCAATTAAGAGGACCATTCCCTGGAAGGATCTGAGTTTGTGAACCACTTTGGATAATATTTTCACAGATGGGAACAGATAGATTGAATTCCAACTGTTCCAATCTAGGTGTAGAGAATTTCCTTGAAGATTTGATCGTTCCAGAGAAGCATAAATAGTGATGTACAGCAATAAGGACAATGCACAGCAATTAATAATCTACACGGTCATGACAGTGAAGGGTCAAAGACAACAATCAAATGACAGGCGGTAAACACTAGAAGTACACGGAGTGGGTGGGTAGGCCGGGAGCAGGTAGTGTAAACAAATGACAGTAGAGATGCTTACTTGGAGCACAGAATCCCCAGTTTTCCGAATTCTCCCGAATTTCTCCTAGTGAGTTGAAAAATGTTAAATTGAAAATTGACAGTTATTAAGTGAGATAGGATGTTAAAATTGGTTAATTCTGATTGAACGATTGTTTAATGAGGGATACCTGTTCAGTAATGCAAAACCATACAACTAGATAAAAGACCTATACCCCTGTAACAGTGTACTGTACTGTTTGTGAACTATGTTATGTGTGTACAGTATATGTGCCAGTACACAGCCTCTTCACCATCAACACTCCTGCTGTGCCTCTTCATGGCAACACTTGGCAACTGGGTGCCTCGTGGCCCCAGGCTAGACCAGCAGGGGATCTCGGAGCTGCCTTGCAGATTAACCTTGGTAGGTATAAGGCTACGAGAGTAAACCCCAAACAAAAAATCTGCTTACATGCTTACGGAGCTGCAGTAAGACCTCAACGGCAGAAGAGGTGACCAACATGGGAACCCAACGACTACACCGGCAGATGAAGGCAATGCAAGATGAACAGGCTACGAAGGTGAAACCCAACAAAATGTGCTATTGGCAGTCCATTGCAACTCTCCCTCTCCCCAGTCATTGCAATTACCTGCACCACTGATTCAGGAAAGGGGAGAGATAAGATGTGTGGTTGCAGCCTACACTCCTGCCTCACCACATAAATCAACTCATGCACAGCCATCATGCAGCACATCATACTTCTCACATCATCAAAACCCCTATCCCCCAAAAGTCCTATGGCGACGGACGAGTGGCGACGAGGACAGACAGAGATGACTGCCGACAGTCTCTAGTCACAACTCTGCACATGGGCGGCACAGATAAAATGGTCGTATATGCACTGGGATCTAGGAAGCAGTGCAATCTGGTCCTGTCTGTGTGACTGGGCAGCCCTTACCATGAGCTGCTCTGCTCAGCCCACATGGGGGGAGGGCTAAAAAAGGTGCCCTAAACATTGCCTGCCTAAAGAACCAATCAGACCGGGCAACCACATCCAGTAAGGTCATCCTTATGCGGTTGAAAACATAATCACAATCACAGATACAAACAAAACAAACCATACAACCTCTTATGGTCACTGCATGGAATGTCAGGACCCTTCTAGATACTGGCACAAATGAGCTTCCTGAAAGAAGAACCGCCCTTGTGGCAAAAGAGCTGGATAGGTATAACATCGACAGAGCAGGCATTAATGAGTCCCAGCTTTCAGATGAGGGTTGACTCACAGAACGGGGTCCAGCTGTACCTTCTTCTTGAAAGGTAAGTCTGCTGCGGAAAGAAACTGCATTTACGGAATTGACTTTACCATTCACCAATCTGTCCTAAATAGGCTAAGTAAAATGCCTGTTGGGATTAACGAACTCTTCACGACGCTCTGAGTCCCACTGAATCACTCATGCCATGCCTTCTTTATCATTTTATACACCCCAACTCTGGATGCAGAGGGTTTTTTTTTTTTGTGAGGAAGAGGCCACCACAACGGGGCCTAGGGGGGTGAAAAAATTAAAGTAAAAAGAACATATTAATCTACTCCAGTTTTTTGAAGTGAGACAGATTGTAAGAGTATGGAAACACAGAAGAAGGCAGAGCATTCCACAGTTTGGCTGTGTGAGGAAAGAAGGATGTACCATAACGGGTTATTCTAGTATGACCGACATCCACAGAGTAACGGTGGGCACCGCGGGCAACATGAGTGTTACGAGCCCACGGACTTGCCGGCGGTACACAGGATGCCAAATCCACCGAAAATTGCCAATTAAAGTACCTGTAAAAGAGAGAGTGAAGCAACATTGCGGGGAAGAGAAAGGGAAGAAAGATTATCAACTAAAGGAAGAGAGTTAAGAAGACGAAATGCCTTTGATTCCACCCTATCTAACAGTTGGACAGAAGAAGAGTCACCCCACATATGAGAGCAGTACCCCAAGTTAGGTCGAATGAATCCCTTATATACTTGAAGTAACTGCTCAGTAGTGACGCAGCTACGGCATCTGTACAGTATTCCCAGCTTTCTGTAGGCAGCTTTAGCAATGTTGAGGATGTGTGGCTTCCATGACATATTAGAGGAAATGGTGATGCCTATCATATATATTTAAGAATTTGGCAGAATGATTGCATCCTGAAATGTGATTGGTGGGAGATAATCTAATTTGGAAAGTGTAATTGGTAAATAC